GTTAAGATCTAACACTTCTTTAGTCTGTCTCTTCCTTTCCGTGTTGTGTCTGAAGCATAGGTACATCGAAGACATCATGCAGAACTACGGTTGGCTCCTCTATTCACCCGTGTACCTTTTTCTTATTTGATTTAGATATCTGTTATGCACCTATGTAAATCCTTTTATCATGTACTACAACTTTCCAGTAGGGCTCTCGACTACTCCATCTTCCCAGCGTTCCTTTCCATTTTTGAAAGTTCGAAAGAATAATTTTTCGCCGGGTTTGAAGTATTTCTTAGTACCGGATTTTTTCTTGTTTTCAACCTTCGTTTTTATTCGGCAGCACTTTGTCAAACACCGATCTAATTTTCCTTACGAACATTAGTTCTGCCGGAGATATACTTGATACCGTGTTAGGATTAGGTGTCACGCGATATACACGTAAAAACTGTTGTAATAGCATATCCTTAGTTTCACCTCCATTGTTGTCTTAATGCTCTTTTGAATGTAACAACATTTGTGCTGTGATGTGGTGTCTGGTAAGGCAAAGTGCTTAACTCGATAGAGTCAGTTGTGATAGTAGTATTCAATATTCAGATAGAGAAGTCACTGCAATAGTATTATCTTCTTCCTTTGACAATTATCCAGTATTACTTATCATGAGTATATCAGTTCATTAATGATATTAAGGATGGAATCTGGCTTTTACCAAAACAATTTGATTTTATTCTCTTCTCGTGTCTTGTGTGGGTTGTAAGCTTCTATTCAATATGAAATATCGGCAATATAAAAATGTTTTTCGTTCATTATATAGATTACACCAATTATTTTATTCTATTCCTTTTAGATTTAACAAATATTATATGTAGTGTGTGACTGAAAAGAGAAATGGAGCTGAGTTTGTTAGCTATAAATATTTGCTTTCGCAATTAATTAGTTTTAGAAGCTAAAACAAATAAAATTAAAGTGGCTGATAAGAATAATTGCAGAGCGTTGTATAAAATATAATGTTTTGAAAAATTTTACATGCCTGAAAAAATTATATATAGTAACTAGTTTGGTCTTTTATAAATTAGTATAAACTGTTATAAATTAAAACATTATATTTATTTATTTTCGTCTACCGGCCTCAATACTGAAAAAATCTTATTAAAAAAAAATTGCGATCTCCGGTATATTTTTCTTTAATAAGATTTACTCGCATATTAAAGCCGGTAGACGAAAATAAATAACTACACTGTTTAATAAATAAGCAGAGCGTCTACTTAAATATGGATATCGACTAAAAGTAACGTTTAAAGTGATAAAATTAAAAAAAAAAAAACATATAAATAGAACATGATCGAGATAATCTGGAAAGGGTATTTTGTGTCAAACTCATTAAATAATGAATTTTCTTATTTCCAATAGGATGGGGACATCCATAAAATTTAGAGTATTTGAAGTACTCCAGATGATATAAGACTTTATTTGGATGAGTAAATTATCATATAATCTACTATATTTCAATGTCGGCCTAGTTTTAGCTAAATATACTCATAAAGCCAACAAAAGCAGAGTTGGTCATTATTATAATTAGTATTCGATTCAAGATTATACCGCCGACGGTCAATTACTGTTCTAGGTTCGAAGCAAAGAGATGAAAAGTTTCATAATAGGATAAAAGTTCGTTGGATTATGTCTTTCTAACATTGAATACGTGAAGTTATAGCCACAATTATACAAATTTTGGATTTCGGCTTCAGGACAAGGAAGATATTGATAAATGTCCTGACATGGTACATTTGAAATAAATATAATTCTAGTGGATGTGGGAAAAATATTTTTTTAATTTGATTTGCAGAAGGAAAAATAGAATTGGAAAAGCAAAAAACCCATCAAATTCAGTTTCTTGGATCGACGTCCGATAGTTGATTTACTTCAAAATATATTTTAATCCTGAAAGAATTACTGTTTGTACTGATGGACATACAAATATACAGTAAACATACATCTACTTCCTTTGATCTGTGTGCAGAAGTATATTAAACACTTGTACGTATATACGTATCTAATAAGTACAGTTGAGTTAACCCCAGTGACAAGTGATTAGTAATGGATATAGTGTTGATATTTCTATATTCTAGTGGAGATGACTTGCCTGCCTGTAAAATCAGCGTTAGGAATTAAGAATTTTAACTGGACACGAACGCTTATTCTATCACTACTGGCTGTTAAAACAAAAATATCTAAATCCTAATCTTTAAAACGATTGATTTTCTACGGCTTATCAACCCATTGCAGGTTATTTAAAGTCAGAAAATATCTTTTTTAGATTGTAAGAGTTTTTTTGGATATAATAATGGTATTGTGATACAATTTTAAGCCCATAGTTGTGCGGGGAAGAGATGAGATGTGTTCATACATTTCCCAGGGGTATTTGCTTGTAATGAATATAACGAACACAATGGGAATTGGAACTCAGCTCTCCGATTAACAATTCCAAGCCATTGTCCATTACGCAACCTGCACATTCAAGCTTGCATCATCTGGTATTCCCAACGGTTACCCATCAACGTACTGATCAGGCTCGACGTTGCTTAATTTTGGTGATCGTATGGGGAGTGGTGTTTCAGTGTGTTTGGCCATAAGTCCTAATATCTGCAGAAATACAGTTAAAGAAGCAGCTAGCGCTCAAGCGCTTAACGTGAATCAGGTTTTGTTTTGTTTAATATAGATTTTGTTGAAATAAAATTATTTTTTCTAGTGAATTTGGTTTATCAGCGAAACATGCCATAATAGAAATTTCCCAAATTATTTATTATTAATTTTATTCACTTTTCCGTCGGTTTCTTATACAACTTTGTTTACTCACTCTCACACACACACACACGTTTTTAAATTCTATCATCATGGCTAATTCTAACCACAATGGAGTACGTCATCGCGTGTTCTTGGTCTCACGTTTTATACTGACATATTAAATCCGTTGTTAGGTCTGTTCCCAAAGAAGTTGGTTTATTATGTCGTACCAGACAATTTATCGCGTCAGAAACTATCCAGTACATTTAAAACGAAGCCGATAATGATGAGAATTCCTTCTTGCACTTTTATAACTTTACCATTCATCGAATATTGCTGGCAAATTTGATTCTGTTCTTTTGCTACATGTATCGAGATTCTTGAGAGAATCCAAGGAAGAATCGGTAGCGTTGTCCGTGTCATCTCGGTTTCAGTTGATTTCCCACCGTTTTCCTGTTCCTTATCTTTAAATCTTTTCACAATAATTTGGTACCTCGAATTCATGAATTACTAGTACTAGATTGGCAGTTAGGTCTCATAATTTTACCGTTTAAATTGATAGAGGTAACCATAAGCTTTACGCTGTTTCTTTTCACACCTGTGAAATTCTCTTCCCATTTCTTGCTTTTCTGTTAAATACGATCTTCAAAAACCCAGATCCTTTTCTGCTTTAATCTGTTATTTTTTTCTTATTTGTTTCCTTCACTCATAGTAACTCCTTGCGTCATAATGACTTTTATTGCCTTGATTGAGGCGAAATGATTTCGAGGCGTGCTAATATCTTCGCATATATTATTGAGGGTGGTATATTGACCCGCAATCCGATATTGAATGTTAGAAGACAACAATAAGCAAAACAAATACTTCATTGACAGAAATGGATTTTCGACAAAGCAAAAATATTACCAGGAAAAAAAAAAGTTTTCGACATAAAATGACCCATTGAGGTTGATATGCCGTAAAACAAAACAAATCAAGACAAACCAATCTTTCGGTTGTGTTTTTAAAATGTGGAAGTGCTCACAGGATACGACAATATAATAAATATTTTGGCAATATTTGTGTACGTGTTGCAAAAAGTGAGAAAGAAAGTGTGTGCGTATTGTAAAATTTATTGTTTTTTTTATTGTAAGTAACTATTTTCAGTAATTGGTGTCTTTGCTTGCCATCATATACTGAGAGCTGAATTTCTCAAAAGATGTCAAATATCTAGACGGGAAACCTTACAGTAACAATACAAAAACATGATTTAACGCTAATCAGGGCAAAATAAATATCGGACAAAAAGTGGGAAAACATGATTGAAAAAAAGAAAGAAAGAAAAGTAGAATGGAAACAAATGATTGAAAACGCATGCTAAAAAAAGACTCGCGAATAATTTAATCAGAGTAACAAAAATAGTGATGGAAACAGGACATTTCTGTTGTAAATAATTGATGAGGAGATGGCAAGGAAGGCAATTTAAATTTAGTCTTCAAGACTGTTTCGAGTTTTATTTTCCTGTCATGTATGCGAATCATTGACAGATGATTATGGTTCCTCAGTATCTTTAATTACACTGGTTCTTAGTTTCACAGGAGAAAACGTGACGGAGATGTCTGAACATTTACGTGGGTTGATTATCGAAGCATCAAAATCGATAGTTATAATGTTTGTCCAGGAAGGAACTGGAATGTGCACGCGCACAAGCTAGGTTTGCGATTTGATGCCACATACACCATTTAAGTTAGTTCTAGTGTTTGGTATTTAGAATTTTTCATGTTTTTTTTTCTGATTCTTCTTTGTATGTTTAAATTAACAAAATAAAATTAATAATTTTATAATTAATTACTAAAGAAAAGAACATCTCTCTTCTATTTTTATTATATATATATATATATATATATATATATATATAATCAAAACAGAAAGAAATATAAAAATAAACCCTCTCTAAACTCGACCATGTCTCTCACGCCACTCCTCATTACCCTCTCTGTTAAATTAAATAGTTTTTTTACCTAAATTGCTAAAACTATACCAGCCCTCTTCTTCCTCCGTAAAACCTAAATACATCTCCTTTTTCTTTATTTTCCCTTTTTTCTTTTTTCTTTTTCTCTATTCTCTCTTCTCTCCTTCACTTTCAACATATCATTTCCATTAAGTTGACAGATCAGTGTCTGATCCTTATCCCCTCCTTCGTCAATATTAAGTATGATAGAAAGAAATATAAATCTAAACCCTCTCTAAACTCGACCATGTCTCTCACACCAATCCTCGCTACCCTCTCTGTTAAATTACATAAACTTAATACTGCCCGTCAAAAGTGTAAATTTTCATTTCATTTTTCGTTTCAGCTTTGGAAAGTGATGTCTGATGATCCAGGATACTTTAAAAGGTCTTTGGTGAAATAAACTATTACAATGGAGCCTTAAAGTGGTCTGTTTTTCTTTATATTATTAGCTCTGAATTTACATTTTATATTGAGGTCTCAGGATTTCATCCTCCTTGAGACTACCCATACGGATTACGAAGTTTTTCGTAACTTAACTATTAGCTCCTTATAAAATAAGTTGAGCTCTCATTGGATCACCTCCTATCGGATTACCATAAAGATCCACACTTTCAACATAAAATGGATAAATTTACACCGGATTACTCACTCAAAAACATCCCTTCTGTTGTATCTTTCACCATTTCTTTGACGGAAAAAAATTATTGACCTCATTAAAAGAATGAGGTGGAAAATTTGCTTCCATTTTAATCCCCAAAACAAACCTACAAACCTTAATGACGCATTTTACTTGAAATCCCAAAACACTCCACCCAGCAATAAATTATTGGAACACTTTGAACACGCCTTAATTAATTTAATCAAAAAAATATCTTTTAGAATGAAATCCAACTCATTCCAATCCAAACTTAAAAAGGACATTACAAGTATCAAAAACTCAAAAGAACTATGGATTAGAGCTGATGAATCCAAAAATATCTACAAGATTAATCCATCTGAATACAAGCATCTGATTCTAGATAAAAGTATCTAACTCTTATAAAAAAGATAATAACTCTAGACACCTATCCTCCATACACAGAGAAACTGCTAAATTTGCATTTAAACATAATATTGCTGATAGAATGGGTACAACTCATCTAAAAGACGCCTACTTACTTTTTAAAAACCATAAACCTAACTTTCAAAAGAATCTACATTCCAGACTAATAAATCCCTCCAAATCAGAGTTAGGAATAATTTATAAAAATATCCTAAAAAGAATAAACACATCTATATTAGAAAAATGCCCCTTAAACCTTTGGAAAGATTCGTCGGACGCCATTAACTGGTTTCAAAATCTAAAATCTAAAAATTAAGCCTCTTTTATTCAGTTAGATATTATCGACTTCTACCTCTCCATTTATAAAGATTTATTAGAAAATAGCTTAAGTTTTGCTAAAAATTATACTAAAATTACTGATGAAGAAATAAAAATCATAATGCACTCTATACAGTCTATACTATAATTTCGATGTTCCAATGGGAGCATTTGATTCAGCTCAAATAGCAGATTTAATAGGTATCAGGTCATCCCATAAGTTCTGTCCGAATTTTAACTCTTTTTTAAAATGAACGAAATTTAAAGAGTATTTTATAATGTCTAATGGATCTGAACATTATTTTTATGTTTAGATGCATTTAAACTGATCAAATTTTATTTCGGAGAACGCTAAAATTAAATTTTGTTTGATTAAAACCCTGCTAACATGGAAGTACCCAAGAATCATTTGAGGCACATAATGCTTTATGAGTTCAAGAAAGGAAACTCAGCAGCCGAAGCGGATAGAAACATTCACTCAGTTTATGGAGAGGAATGTGTGAATGAAAGAACTTGCAGAAGATGGTTTGCAAAATTCAGAGGTGGAGATTTCACCCTTGAAGATGAAGATCGAACCGGACGTCCAGTTGAGTTTGATGAAAAGCTTCTTGAAGCAGCCCTTGAAGGAAATCCTGCTTTATCAGTTGAGGAATTGGCAGTGGTTCTCAGTTCAAACCATACAACTGTTCATCGTCATCTTCAACAACTTGGAAAAGTTCCTAAACTTGGAAAATGGGTGCCTCATGAATTGTCTGACAACAACCTCAAATCCCGAGTTGACATCTGCTCTTCTCTCCATTCTTGCCAACTTGTTTCACCTTTTTTGGATAGACTTGTGACTGGCGACGAAAAATGGATCTTTTATCGAAATGTTAAGCATCGTAGACAGTGGCTTGGTAAAGGGGAAGAACCCCAGCCACAGCCGAGAAGGGAACTTCATTGGCAAAAGGTTCTTCTTTCAATCTGGTAGGATCGCCAAGGGATAATCTACTTTGAATTCTTACCCCCTAATGCAACAATTAATGCTCAAATATACTGTCAGCAACTAGAGCGTTTGAACCAAGCTTTGAGGAAAAAAAGACATGCTCTAGTGAATCGAAAAGAGGTGATGTTTCATCAGGACAATGCGCGACCCCACACAGCAAGAATCACGTCACAAAAGATCGAAGAACTTGGTTGGGAGAAAATTCCTCATCCACCTTATTCTCCCGGTTTTGCTCCTTCAGACTACCATTTGTTTCGTAGCTTACAGAATCATTTGGAAGAAACAGCTTTTGTAAGACAGGAAGAGGTTAAAACTGACATTTGTGAGTTCTTCGAATCAAAGCCAAAAGGATTTTACAGTAATGGAATTAGTAAGCGTGTTAATAGATAGAAGGAAGTCATAGATAATCAGGGAAAATACATTGTTGATTGAATCTGTAATTAAATGTAACATTTGGTCACTTGTTTTCTTTATTCAAAATTCGGACAGAACTTATGG